GATGTTGAACATCTTTTCATGTGCCTGTTGGCCATCTGTATATCTTCTTTGCAAAAATGTCTGTTCAGATTCTCTGGCCATTTTTTGATTGCGTTTTTTGCTTTTTTGTTGTTGAGTTGTATGAGTTCTTGATACAGTTGGGAGATTAACTCCTTGTCAGATAGATGATTTGCAAATATTTTCTCCCAGTTAGTGTGTTGTCTCTTCATTTTGTTCCTGCTGTCCTCAGCCTTGCAGAAGCTCTTTAGTCTGATGTAGTCCAATTTGTTTATTTTTTCCTTTCTTTCCCTTGCCTGAGTGGACATGGTTTTCAAAAAGATGCTGCTGAGACTGATGTCAGAGTGTACTGCCTACATTTTCTTTTAGGACTTTTATGGTTTCACGTCTTAGCTTCAAGTCTTTAGTCTATTTTGAGTTAATTTTTCTGTATGGTGTAAGATAATGGTCTACTTTCATACTTTTGCATGTGGCTGTCCAGTTTTCCCAACACCATTTATTGAAGAGACTTTCCTTTCTCCATTGCACGTCCTTGGCTCCTTTGTTGAAGACTGGTTATGCGTAGATGTGTGGTTTTATTTCTGGGCTTTCAATTCTGTTCCATTTATCTGTGTGTCTGTTTTTGTATCAGTACCATGCTCTTTTGGTTACCATAGCTTTGTAGTATATTTTGAAGTCAGAGATTGTGATGCCTCCAGTTTTGTTCTTTTTTCTCAGCATTGCCGTAGGTATTTGGGATCCTTTGTTGTTCCATATGAATTTTAGGATTCCTTGTTCTATTTTCCTGAAGAATGTCATTGGGATTCTGATTGAGATTGCATTGAATCTGTAGATTTCTTCAGGTTACATGGACATTTTAACTATCTTTATTCTTCTAATCCATGTGCATGGAATATCTTTCCATTTCTTTATGGCATTCTTGGTTTGTTTCAATAATGTCTTACAGTTTTCATTGTACAGGTCTTTCACCTCCTTGGTTAAATTTATTCCTAGATAGTTTATTCTTTTTGTTGTAATTGTCACTAGGATTGTATTCTTGAGACACCAAGAACAACTCCATGCCCACTTCGATGACTTAGTGTTTGAGTCTGGGCTTGGGAATTCCCCAAAACTCCCCCCACACTTCCACCTGCCTGACATCTGTGTTCATTCACCCATGTCTTCAAAATATATTTCTGGTTATCACTCAAATGCAATATGCGGACCTTGCTTGGATCCTGATGCAATATAACAAAAGAAGGAAATACGTCTACATGTAAACCAGAAGAACGATGTCAGAGAAGGATCAGCAGAATGTGTGTGTTTCCAGGTAAGCAAGAGGATGCTGGCGAGATGTGATCATTTCATCAAGTGTAGACAGGGAGAACTGCCCGAGTGCTGAGAACAGCTGGAGGGACAAGCAGTGGATCCCCCATTCCAATGGCTGGAACCCATGCATAGGGGACCTGGGCACAGGACAGAGTCCAAAGTGCCCGGATCTGGAGGTAGTGGCAGCAGGGTGGGCCTGAGGAGAGAGGCACGTGGGGTGCAGGGTCCAGGGGCAGAACGAGGGATCTGCCGCATTTAGGGCTACTCAAGGTTGTGGTTAATGACGTGCCAGAGACTCGAATCTTCGCCGAAAACTTCCTGCAATCCAGGTTAAGTAATCAGTGAGGATCACTAATCTTTCTGCATGAGCTAAATACAAAGAGCCCTTAAATGATATTTGAGAAAAAGTCTGGAGAGACATAGATATACTATATCTTATTCCTATTGGATCTCTATGGGTCAAGAGATAGATAGAAAGACCGATAGACATAGACACACAGACAGAGAGATATATAGATAGATAAACACATACATACATACATACATACATAGACAGACAGAGAGAGAGAGATAGATAGATAGACAGACAGATTGATACACAGACAAAGAAAGCAAACACGTGTCCTATCTGGTGTTTTCAAACTCACTCATCTCCCAGGAACTGGGAGCAGGAGGGAAGTTGCATTTGCTGATGCCTATGATGAATTTTTCTGTACATTATCTCATTTAACTTTCTCTACAGCCCTCAAAAGTTGAGATCACTCTAATTTAAGAAGAGATAATTGCGGTGCAGAGATGAAACAACCTGCCGGGGTCACTGTTCCTCGTGAGGAAAGGAGCTGGGCTTTGGCTCCTGTCTCCCTTCTCTCTGCTAAGAAATGCTGTAATCAGGATGCCCCCCCCCCCCCCACCCCCGGCATCGCTGCTTTGGTTTACCCCTGGAATTATCGTGCACATATGCATTTGAAGAACGTAAGCCCTCTCCCCTATTAAGGTTAAATGTACTTATGCTGGTCCTCAGCGTACTCACAGTAGAGTTTTAGGAAGCAAAGTAAAGGAAGGCACACATTTATCCATGTTTCTTCTTATCAGGCCCCTAAAATCAGCTGACAGAGAGGAACTCATGAATTCTGTTTCCCTCTCTTCCTCCCCTCAACCATTAGTTGGTGGTGGATTCCCACTGGGAAACACCAAACAGGAGTCTCAGAGAGAAGCCTAGAGAGAGCCTCAGTCTCACCTGGGGCATGAAACATGAAATCACATGGCCTGTCATCCGAGGACAAATGTTTGAGCCCAGGGAAGCTGCTGTGTGTCCGTGAACTCGTTTTCTCGTCTTTAAAGTAGGACATTGGAAGCTAAGGCCTGGGTTGTTGTCGAGGGTAGACACACTTGCTGGACAGTGAGTGAGGATCAGGAACATACGTGTGTGAATTGGGCACATCGTGGAATCTCTCTAGTTCTCATTTTCTGTTGACCAGGCAAAGTTTTATGATATGATGACCTTTGCTCCAGTCTTGACGGGTGTCGGCCGGGGGTGCCTCTGGAAACCTCCTAATGGGAGGTGGGGAAAGTTGCCTTAAGGAAGAGAATTATGATAAAATATTATCTAAGGTAAGCGCTCCCTTCCCTTTGTAACTTGATCCTCAGTCACAGGGAAGGGAACTGAGTGTGAGTCACTTGGCTCAGTGAACCTTAGGCCACAGCAAACACATCTCCCACCATAGTGCCAGCTTTAGTCTCCTGTTCATTCTGCTCCTCATAGCACCTCCATTTCCCATGATAGGAAACCACTAACTCTAATATCTCCAATTACAAGACAGATGAGTTGATTAAGTATGTTTCCAAAGGAGTTTTTACTTCCTAAATGTTAGACTATTGAGACGTCATTAAAGATGTGGATACTGAAAACATTTTGATACCAAATTCAAGTCACACACACTTACTCAGAGATAACTTCACTGGGTAAAGAGAAGCATATTTTTGTCCCAAACTCCACAACAATACAATTTTGCAAGGAGACTCTTAATGTTTTCTAAACAGAGCCTGGGATTTGGAGAGAAAATGCAAGTGTTCCTCTGTAAGTCCTGGCTTTGGGACTCCCGCTTGTAACAAGTCCTCTGTGCTTCCACTCACACCCACGAGAGAACCAGCCATGTCCCCTGTTGGAGCCACTGAGTGTCAGTCTCTGGTCCCCTGCTGTGTCGACTACCCACGCAGCCTGGGATGGAACAAGGGCTTTCAGAGTTTGCTGACTGGACACAACCAGTGTCTCTCTTACCATCACAGTGACCAAACGAGTGTGCACACATCCACGCGTGCAACACACTTATGACTGAAGCTAAAACTCCTGAAATGATGCTCCCCTTGTCTCCATATGGTGCACTTGGACAGTGTCTATTGTCTTCTATCTCATTTTAAATATTAGTCGATTTCACAGTCCTCTAAAGGATTTTCATGCATATTTTGAAAACCACTACTACAGAAAATGAGTCCTAGACTTTGGTTTCAGATAGAAGTGGGTTTGAATCCCAGGACCACCACCTACATTGGGCAAGTGACTCTAGAATCCTCCGTCTCCCGAGCTGTAAAATGAGAGTAATAGCAGAGTCCACCTCAGCTGATTTCTGTAGGATTCAATGAAGATCTATTTGTGAACATTCATTGTATGTCACACAGTGACCAAATGTTAGTTCCACTCCATGTACCGTAAAGTTAACGTAGTAACATCCCTTTTTTGAGATTATAAGTAGAGGTAGAATGTAGAATTCCATGAGAAGGAAGGAATCAGCATCCTGTGTCTGTGCAAAGGATTAGGATCTCTGGAGCTACAGCTAAGCGAGTCTGAGCCCTAATTCCAGCTCTGGAACAAATGTTGCATTAACTCTGCTCCCTCTGCCTCCTCGCTGTCAGGGAAGTCCTCTGGTTGAAGGCCCTCACAGGTTCCCAGGGCCTGCCTCTGTGTGGGTTCCAGCCCTGCCCTCCCTTTAGTCCTGGGCTGGATTTCCATGTCCATCACCTGCTGGAGTGTGACTGTGGATGTGTCATTTAACCTCTAAGCCATGGTCTCATTCCCTAAAAATGGGGATAATGACAACTATTTCATGGGGTTGTTAGGAGATTAAAGATATAATGTTTCCATGATCTGGACCCATGGCGTAGTAGTTAAGTTTGACGCACTCTGCTTCAGGGGTCCCAGTTCGCAGGTTGGATTCTGGGTGCAGACCTGCAACACTCCTCAGCCATGCTGTGGTGGGCACCCACATACAAAATAGAGGAAGATTGGCACAGATATAAGCTCAGGGTAAATCTTCTCTGGCAAAAGAAAAAAAAAGATATATCCAAAGGGGTTAGCATTTGGTCAGGATCGTTAAGAGGAGATGTTCAATAAATATTAGTTCTCTAATCCTTCTCCCTCCCCCTAAAACCAAGCACACATCCTTACCACAGACTCTCACCTATTAGGCTGCTAAGCCCACCAGATTTTACCCAGTGGAGACTGGAGAATGGTTTGATGCAGTTTCTTGGGCTCGGCTCCTGAGGGTGAGAAGTTGGGCCAAGGAAGGCATTCCAGGGACTCTCCAAGTCTGCCAGGAAGGAGGCAGACCCTTCCTCAGCATTGTTGGTGCTGTTAACCATGGATCTTAAAGTGCAGTTTTGTTTCTGTTGTTTCATTCATTCATTCCTTCATTGATTCAGGTGGAGAGAGCCCAGGAGACAGCATCATGGCAGCGAAGCCCATGCTTCACTACTTCAGTGGACGAGGCCGGATGGAGCCTATCCGGTGGCTCCTGGCTGCTGCTGGAGTTGAGGTCGGTTCTGAGTTCGGTCATCTTCAGTTGGATCTAGAAGTGACTATCGAAGTCCTTGCTCCCATGAGCTAGGAGACTATTCTCTCTAAACCATCTGTCAAGAGTTATGCATTGAGAAAAAATACAGCGATTAAGAGATGAACAGATTTGACCTAACATAAAATTACAATTTCTTCTCATCAAAGAGCATAAACAATTAAAGTAAAGTTAAGAAGCTAACCACAATGTGTGGAATTTATTTGGATTTGGATTTAAACAAAGTGTAAAATATCATTTATGACATTTATTCAATAATTAGAAACATGAACATGATCAAATACCAGATAATATTAAAGAATTATCTTTGATGCTTTAGGCGTGATAATGTACTGTGCTTATTGTTTAAGTAGTTCTTATGTTTAAAAGGTGCACATTGAAGTGTTTAAAAATGAAATATATGACATTTCTGATTTTTCAAATTACTACGAGAGAGAGAGTCATGGGCATACATATGACAGGAGTCTGGCTTGAGTTGGTGATTATGGTACTGGATGAAGGGTACATGGAGCAGCAATATAGTTTCCTGTTTATTTTCATGCATGCTAGAAATTTCCTTAATAAAATCAGAAAAATTAAATAGAACAAAAGCTAAGATAGAGCCAGAAACATAGGAAGAGTGAATGGTCAGTAACCGCCTGTGAAACATGTAACTGACTCACTCAGCAGTGCCAGGTGCAGATACTCAGATGAACAAGACAGATGCAGGCTCTGTCCTCATGAAGCTTATGTTCTACTGAGGTTGCACACAAGTAAGGAGGTAATTAAAAGGAAGGAAGAGCATCTAGGAGGACACCCAAGCATTTACAGGGCCAAAATGCCATAGTCCCAGTGGAAAGCTGGTAGGTTTTCCTGGGACTCTGTTGAGCGCTACCCTCTGGAGGTGTCACAGAGAAAAACATTTCTCAGCCCAGATCAGACGGACCAGCAACTCTGGGAGGGTTTTCCAGGCAGGAGTCATGGACGAGCTCGGGAGGTCTTGTCCCCATGGGAGCAGAAGAGGTGGGTTCCAGGTGAAGTGGCATCCTGTGACAGGAACCTCTACTGTGCTGTCTCCAGGGTCAGCTGTGGGGTTCAGGGATGTGTTCAGAGCCCCTGGGCAGGGTGAGTTCAGCACAGGAGGGGGAAGTAGGGGAGATGCTGAGCGCATGCCAGGCTTCCTCTTCTCCATCAGCTTCACTGAAGAGAGGGGTGCAGCAGGACTTACCAGAGGCTCTTTGTCAGGCCTTCTGGGTTCTCTGTGCCCAAAGGCTGGTCCTCACCATCCCATCCATCTCCGTTAGCCTCACAAACACCATCTCACCAGCCAACCCTCCCTTGATGACCAGCCACCATCCCTTATGTTTGTCTGGAACTGGGTGCTTTAGGAGTTGCTGCACCCCCACCTCACTATCTCTAGAGTCTGATCCTGTGGAGCCATGTGGATCTACAATAAACGCTTCCACTGGACAAGTTAGAATTCCCCAGATTCCCAAGCTTTTCACCATCAAGAACCCCTTGAAACCATAGCAGCCACTGCAAACAGCACTACTAGTTATACTTGGTGTGTGTGGCCTGGGTCCTGTAATCTGTATTTTAACACAACATATTCCACATAAGAAAATGTTCTCCCTGCATTTGATAGAGGAGGAAATGAGGCCTGGAGATGCTAAGTGCCTGTGCCCCGATCACACAGCTACCGTGAGGCAGACGCAAGACTGGAACCAAATCGCATCAACGCTGAGATCTGTTTTCTTGACACTGGTCTCTTTTGACTTTTGGTTTGATCGATTCTGCCGATTAAGTAAACTGCATGATCATATACTGACTGATTTTCATATTTGTATTGAAACCCCACAAGCACTCAGAGCTTCTGGTCAGATGACGGCCTTGTTGCCGACTGCCCTCCAACCAGAGAGACTTGCCTCAGGAGAAGAAGAATCTACACAAAGGTCTACGTCCTGAATGTAGGTCAAGGACGGAGCAGAGGTTCAGCAATGTTAGGTAGCTTTAAGTTTAAAAAAAAAAAAAAAAAGCAGAGGGAATGGTCAGATGAAATAGCAACCAATTTTAAAAATCCTGACAACTTGTGTTTATGGAGCACCTCATGTATACATGGTACTGTTTAAATGCCTTAGCATACCTTACTGGTTTAATCTTCACACCAACTTATAACCTAGGTGCCGTAACTATGCTCATTATACAGATGAGGATACTGAGACATGAGGAGATTCAGTGACATGTCCAACTTCAAGAGGCAGCACGTGTAAGAAATGATGCTCAAATCCAGGCAGTCATATCAGAAACCAAAGTTTCTCGATTAAAAATCAATATTTTTAAACTAGTTTGGCAACTCATTTTCCTTTCTTAAATTGGGATTCTAATCAAGGGTGTCCCACTTTTCCAGGAGAGGACATTCTGAATCTTAGAGTTAAAGCTGTGCAGCAACCAGGACTCATTTTATACGAAGTGGGCCCTCATGGGATGGAGTGATGTCAATGATAGCAGAAGTCAGCATCTGAGATGGTCGTGGCCCCCTGGTGTACCCTGTGCTGGGGGACACACAATGTCCTGTCCTGACCTCACCTAGAGAGACAGGCTTTCCTGAGATACTAAACCCCAAAACTAGAGGAACTTCCCAGTCCCCTCCCTCCGTGACATCCCCCTCCCCAATGACCAGGATCATCCACAGAGGTGGAAACAAGGTGGAGGTGAATTGAAACCTCAAGAATGAGCTGTTACCTGCTGTCCCCCACGCTCTTTCCTGGAAGGCTCTACCTAAATTTCCGGTTGCCCTGATCATACTCCCCTGTGTACTCTGACAAGCTCAGAAATCTCCCTTCTCCTTATTATGTGCTGGACAGGGGTCATTCAAGTTTAAAACTTTTATAATGCTGTGGAATGAAAGAACAGGAACTCACTTACTGTTTCTGCTTTCCAGTTTGAAGAGACATTTATAGACACACCAGAGGACTTTGAAAAGCTAAGAAATGGTAAGACCAAGCATCTAAGTTCCTCTGATGAGAGGATCTAGTCGAAGTCATGTGTTGAGGATGTAACCCCAGGAAATGCCTATGTGTGTGTACCCTGGGAGTTTGGGGCCAAGGAGAGGGAAAGAAGTGGTTCAGATGTATGGGATGGGGCTCCCTGAGCAGCTTTGGTAACTCCCTCAGGACCAGGAAGGGCTGAAACTCTCTGAGTATTTGCTACAGGACCATCCCCGGTGTCCCGTGGATCCCTCTCTTTGCTTTCTCTTGCTTTTCTGCACCACGACTGAGCTGTATCAGCTCAGGATCCCACAGCCTCCCAGAAAGGACATCAAACACATGCAATAGAGTGAAAGAGGAGAAACAGGCCCAGCAGTTGCCTAGAATTCTCTCCCTGATGGGTTGGCCAAAGTGAAGTCCTAGCTCTATTATAGCACAGATCACAAGATGGTGTTGTGAGAGTTGGAACGCCAGGTAAGTGAGTGAGGAGGGAGAGAAAGAGGGAGGCCAGCTGGACTGGGTGGAGAAAACAGGGCCCCCCACCACACACTATCCAATGGTGGAATTTGAAGCACATACAAATCACCCTCCGTAGAAATCTCCCTTGCTATGGCCTAATGCCAGCAGCACCATAGACTTGTTCTCGGAACTTCCCAACTGAAAAGGCAAATGGCTGGTGGTCCTGTTGCAGCTTCTCCCAACTTCTTCCTCAAATATCCATGATGAGAAATCGAGCACAGGAAATACAGGGACCTACTGAGTATCTGGATGGGGAATAAAAATGTAAATGTAATAACAGGTTAAAAAGTGAAGGGAGGCTTGATAAGCAAAAGAAGGACTGTGGGAAGCTCACAACAACTGCTCTTCTATTAAAGCGTTATCCAGTAATTTTCATTTCATTTTATATCTCTAGTCATTTCAACAAACAGTTTTTCATCCTCAAAGAATAAGATCCATAAAACATTTCACTCTACTTTTCCTTTTCTTCCTTCAAAAGATGGGAGTTTGATGTTCCCGCAGGTGCCAGTGGTGGAAATTGATGGGATGGAGCTGGTGCAGAGCAGACCCATCCTCAACTACAACGCCGCCAAACACAACCTCTCTGGGAGAGACACCAAGGAGAGAGCCCTGTGCGGTGTTTTTCCTGCTCTTTCACCTACAATTAATAGGAACACGTTAGGTCCTTCCCTGAGGAGGCAGGACCATGTTAGGGGGATCATGACCACCAGCAGTGTGGCCTCGGTGGTGTAGACTGAGTTCCAGTACAGCAGAGACCTCGGAGGATGAGGGACAGGAAAACTGCAGGGGACTCAAGCCAGCGGGATTATAGAAGAGGATGCAGCCCACAGAGAGGGCACAGTGACAGAGGTCTGCAAACCCTGTTGAACTAAGAAGCCAGGAGGATGGTGGAGTCATGACTCCATGTGTTCAGGCCTTTAAGACCTGGACACCAGCCCACAGCCAGAGATGAGGGGCAAAGTGTCTGAGGGTCTAGAGGATAAGGCTGGGGAACGAAGGACCCAAAGAAGCTGATTCTCAAATTCCAGAATTTACCAGAATGATGACCAGGAGCCTAAGTTATAACCCAGTTATATGCATGGGCCATTTGACAAGGATTAGAAACGTTGAGGACAAGATGCTGGGGTTACAGTGAACACTTTTATCCAGGGCTCAAGCAGCAGATTTATTCAATACAACCTTATCTGGGCAGTCTCTTCCCTGTTGTGATGGGAACACATGATAAAAATTAAAACCGTGTAAGGAACTGTGGCAGTTACTCAAAAGTTAAACATAGAGTTACCATATAACTCAGCTATTCCACCACTAGGTGTGTACTCCAGAGAATCGAAAATCCATACACACTAACACTTGTAGAGAATGTTCATAACCATGTAGTTCATAATCTTCAAAAGTGGAAACAGACCATTGTCCATTAAGTGATGAACAGATGAACAAAGAGTGGTCTGTCCACACAATGGAGTAATATTTTTCCATGAAAAGAAATGAAGTCCTGAGGCAGGCTACAACACGGATGAACCTTGACAACATTATGACACATAAAAGAATCCAGACACAAACAGCACATATTCCATGATTTCCTTTGCATGAAACATCCAGAACATTCATATGACAGAAACAGAAAATGGTTTAGTAATTGCCTAGGGCTGGAGGGAGGGAAGAGTGTTGAATGCCTGTGAAAGCACAGCAGCTCCTCGGGAGAGGTGGAAATAGTCTGAAATTAGAGTGTGGTGGTGGTACACAATTCTTAGACTGTACTAAAATTCACAAAATTGTACAGTTGAAAAGGATGACATTATGGTAGGTGAATTATATGTCAATAAAGCTTTGATTTTTAAAAACCTCTCGCAGGAAGCTTCGTTTGGAATACGCAAAGCAAATCACCTGGCTTGTGCTCTGGTGGGAACTGAATGAAGAATCACACCATTTCAGGGGATACTTTAGGTTTGTTCTTGAGAAATGCAAACATGGTCAGCATTAGGCAGCGGTACCTGGAGAGGGCTGTGAACCATGTTCTATGGAAATCATTGGAAGAGCTGCTAACATCGGGCACTATGTGGGCTGGGTGGTGTAACAGGTTGAGAGGCAGAGGGACATGGCTGAGACAGCAATGCCAGGGACTCCCTGTGGAGGTGACTTAGGTGGCAGGTCTTTGGCCGTGTGAATCACAATGAGTTTGTGCACACAAAAAACCGAGCAGAGCTGGCAAACCCTAGCTAGGGTCTCAGTGGTCACTTGCAGTGATTCCAGCAATGTCTCTCATGCTTGTGACTCAGGGCAGGTCACCAATGCTCCTAGTCCTCACGTTTAGTCATGCAGATAACAAAAATTTTAACATAACAAAATTTTACCAAATATCTGCCTCGAAAGGTTGTTATAAAATTAAATGTGAAAATTCAGAAAAAATCATGAGTGGATGACTGGCCTATGTATATGCAGGTGGATTCCTCTGCCACCTCCTGGTGCCCCATTCCTTTATATTTTTAAACTATAAAACCAACGGCAGAAGAGATTTGACACTTTGGCCATTTTTGTCTTTCAGGATTGATATGTACATAGAAGGTGTGGCAGATGTGAATGAAATGATCCTGCTTTTACCCATAAGCCCACCTGCTGAAAAAGATGCTAAGATTACCCTGATCAAAGACAGAACAGCAAATCATTATTTGCCTGCATTTGAAAAAGTGAGTTGGCTGTTCAGCATCCTGGGGGCACTGAGATTAGAGGAGAAAGAAGAGAACTGGGCATTCCTGGGACAAGGACCTTCACTCCCAGTCAACCTTCCTGAATCCTAGTTAATGGAGCATCCTGACTCTCAAGGCATTTTATAACAATGCACTGTGAGGAAGAATTGTAGCAGTTCTAGCCAAGTTATAATTGCCAGCAAAACTTCAATTTACTCGGATCCAATCTAGAATTCTCTCTTCAGTGGAATTTCGAGGTCTTAGAGCTTGGGCTGTGGAAGGCTCTGAAAGCCACACTAGAGATTGGCACAGATCTTGCAGAACACCATAGAGGGGCTTAGCTCCAAGAGGAACACGATGAAAGCAATACATCAGAACAAATTCTGTGGCCAGCTCCCATGGCCTAGCATTTAAGTTCAGGGCACTCCACAGGGGCCTGGGTTGGGTTCTCAGGTGTGGACCTACACCACTCTGTTAGCGCCATGCTGTGCTGGTGGCCCACATACTAAAAAATAGAGGAAGATTGGCATGGATGTTAACTCAGGGAGAATATACCTCAGCAAAAAGAGAAAATATTCTGGTATCAATTGTAGGGAGACATGAGACCAGCTGCCCATCAGGAGATTGTGGTAGAATTTCAGGGAATGGACGAGATGTGTCGAAACAGAGATGGGGGTCGTAGATAAAGAAGAAGAGAGAGATGAAAGGATGTTAAGGGGAAATGATCTACAAATTTGGGAGCATGGTTATTATATTTTTGAGGAAAGTCATGCAAGCTAAGGAAATAAAGTTCCATCATTAGACATAGCACCTGTGCTAGTGGATATTTCTCTTTGAAGGTCAAGGAGGACATTTCAAGACCACAACTACCTGAAATCATGCTAAATAGAAATCAGGAACCAAAACTTGATTGTGAGAGATACAGGAGCCTTACATGTAAATAACGGATTGATCTCGACCTCCCCATCATTATAGAGCATGAAATCATTCTTTCATTCATTCAACAAGTGTGCACTCAGTGCTAGTGTGTCAGCTCCTGTTCACGCCGGGAACAGTGTAGCACTAACCACGAAGTCCACTCTCCTGGCCCTTGTGGTGCTGAGAGTTCAGCATGTTCACAGGGTGGCAAGCTCCTCAGTCACTGCAGTTTGAGGACATCTGTCCTCTGAGATCAAAGAGCCCTGTGGTGACATAACTGAAAGATGCTCATTACAATATGGCATTTGATGCTTCATTATATTATTTGTTTTTATCCATGCTTCTATGAGCATACATATTCTGGAAGGGTCTTTGCCAAATTCTTATGATCTTTAGTTGGTGGTGCCATGTGTGTTTTTTCCATTTTTTGTCTGTGATTTCCATATCTCTGCATATTTTTGACAAATATCACATATATACTGCAATATGTTATTATGAATAATTCAAAGATACATAACAGTTGAAATACAGGTACAATGAACCCATATTATCCATCACCTATATTCAAAAAATTAACCTTTTTTTATGATGTTTGCTTAATCATATCTGTCCCCATCATCCTCTCCTCCAATCAAGTACATTATTTTTTGATGCATTTTAAAGCAGGTGCAGACATCAATGCAGTCACGGCTAGATAGTTCAGCAGGCACATTAGAACATATTCCACCAATGTTGTTGACAGACACTGATTGGGTAGGAGTCAGAGCCAGTGTTGTAAGGGGACGGTGAGTTCAAGGTGACCCGGGGTTATTTCAGGTCCCAGAGAGACAGACCAGGAAATGAGGAGAGCAGAGCAGACGGGAGGAGAAAGGCAGACTGAAACAGTCTGCTGAGGACTCAGGAAGGCTGACGTGAAGGTGGAAACTTTGCCAAGGGAGAGAGGAGAAAGAAAAAAGCAGAGACAGAGATGAAGAGCCATGTCCTGATGTTTCAGGGCTGCACAGTGTAGGGTGTGAGACTGAAAGAAACAGGGCACAGTGGTGCTAAGCCCTTGACCCAGTGGAAGATGCTAGTGGTGAGCCCCAGTGATGTGGGAAGGAGAAAAGGAAACGGTATCCTAGGCTTCACTGAGGAGTGAGGGAAGAACAGCAGAGCCCACGCCTCCCTCTGTGTCAGTGATTCAGGGCCGGTGGAGAAGGTCTGGAGCTCCACATCAGCCCAGTGAGGCAGCAGAGGAGGGAGAGCGGGCTGGACAGAGCTGGGAGGAGCAGGGGGCCCAGCCTGCCTGTGCCTGTGTTCATGATGTGATTCCTCCAATTCGCCAGGTGTTAAAGAGCCATGGACAAGACTACCTGGTTGGCAACAGGCTGAGCAGGGCTGACATTCAGCTGGTGGAACTTATCTATTACGTCGAAGAGATTGACCCCAGCCTTCTGACCAACTTCCCTCTGCTGAAGGTGATCTCTTTCACAGCCCTGAGGACGGAAGACCCACACCTCCCCTCTTGGAATCTAATATTTAGCCTCTTGGGTCCCCATTATTGTCCAGGCCTCTGCTGCCCTCCAGTCTCCAAAATTATGTTCTAGGCCCTGGTCTGAGGCATGAGAAGAATCTCCTTATGCTGAAGCAATCTGTGTGGACGCTGCCCCAGGAGGATGATTTGTCTTTTACAATGAGAGGGACCCAGCATCAGCACCTCTCTCCCAGGCCTCTGTTCCATTCCGGATTCTGTCCTCTTTTCTCTGTGATTCCCTTGACCCAGGAGTGTCCTTCTCCTTCCACACCCGAGTCTGTGAGCAGCTCTCCTCCCCTCGGCTCCTGCTCCCCCTTCCACACATTGTGTTTCTCTCCACACAGTCTCCCCTCTCTCCCCGTGTCTCTCCCTCGGTGGGCAAATTGGTTTTGACGGGCCTCATGGTTTACCTTTTACATTTCCTGTCTTCAGGTCCTGCCCCCTTTCCTATATCTTTGCTTTTCCTCACTGGAGACTTTACCTGTGCTGATGTTGCACAGACACATTACTCTTCCTTGTGTTGCAAAGAGCCATGAATCCACAGGATGGGTGTGTAGGGAAGAAGACGGGGAAGAAAATGCTATTGAGCTGGATTTTCTTCTCTTATCCTCATGGCTCACCTGGTGTCCGTTCCCAGCCTCAGGCTGGTGTCGATGGAGGAGACTCAGGTGGTCCTCGTCTAGGAGGGTCTCAGATTCCCTGGCTTGTGCTAATGCCGGGCTTGGTCTTTGGCTCCACTCTGAGGCTCTGCTCTTGTGCCTTGCAGGCCCTGAAAGCCAGAATCAGCAACCTGCCCACCGTGAAGAAGTTTCTGCAGCCTGGTGGGGCGAGGAAGCCTCCAGTGGATGAGAAAATTTTAGAAAAAGCAAGAAAGATTCTCAAGTTTTGATAAAGCAGGCCTGGCCCCCAGCACAGGCAGGACCGATCTTCTGAAGTTTTCCAGCAGTGACGTGCTTGTCTTACATGTAGACCCTAACTATTGTCAGACTAATAAACTAATCCATCGTTCAAATGCTAATCGAACAAAAACCCACTATGCAGTTTTACTTGCAAAGCAATCCATTTGTTTTGATCAAATATGAAATTATTATTTCCTCCTAGGATGTCTCCTGGACTTAAAGATAAATATAAGGAGAAAAAGTTTCATGGACTCTTGGATCTAATAAAAAAATTGTCATATAACAGCCATGATATACCTGGTCAAAAACAGTGAAGCTGAAATTTTCATCTGCATTCTCAGTTCCACCAAAATCGTCTTTTCCTTTAGTACTTGCTGTCTTTCTGACCCACAAGCTAAAAACTTTTTTCTCTCTTTTTATTTTTGGAAAACCACTTTTTTGCAGGTAATCAACCTTTTTTCCTGTTCACTTATGGAACTAATATTTCTTTACATGTAATATGTGATATACAGTGTCCCAGGAGCCGTAGAAATGATGACAAGCCAAACAGATAGAGTCTCTGTCCTCATGTAGTTCGCTCTAGTGAGAGAAAGAAAAAAATACATCATTCCAATCTAAAATTACGTGTACCTTGTCCATCAATTTCCTAGGGTTGCTGTAAGAAATGACCACAAATTTAGTGGCTTAAAACACTGGAAATTGATTTTCTTGCCGTTCTGGGGGCTCTTGGTGCGAACTCAAGGTTGAGCAAGGCCACGCTCTCTCTGAAGCCTCAGGGAAGGATCCATCCTTGCCTCTTCCTGGGTCCTCATCCTTGCTGGCAAGCCTTGGCATTTCTTGGCTTGTAGATGCATAAGTGCAATCTCTGCCTCCATTGTCACATGGTGTGCCTCCTGTGCGTGTGTCTCTACCCAAAGTTCCATCTTCCTATAAAGATACCGGTAATTGGGTTTGGGCCCACCCTGGTACAGTATGACCTCATCTTACCTTGACGACATCTGGAAAGACCCTATTTGCAAATAAAGTCACAGTCATTGGTACCCAGGTTCAGCACTTCAGCATTTCTTCTTCTTAGGAGAGGCAAGTTAACCTACAGCACCATGTGAGGGGATGAGATAGTGCTAGGTACAACCCTAACCAGGATGCCTTTGCTGGAATCTGTGGGTCAGTCATGGTTTCTCAAAGAGGGGAGTCAGGGCTGCCGTGAGCCCTGACGGAGAGACAAGTTGCAGGTACGGAAGTGGGCAGAACCTTGATGGGGCAGCAGGGATGGAATCCAGGGAGGAGGTCAGCAGGGTGAATGGCCTAGGGAGAGAGACTGAACGCGGTGTGTTTGAGGAAGGAGGAGTGACTGGGTCTGAGTGGAGCATTGGCCATAAGGTAGGGATGAGCACCGAGGAGGTGAGGTCGGAAAACAGGGCCCAGAGTGCTCAGAACTGTGAAGACCATGACAAGGAATTTGGATTCTGTCCTAAGGAAAATAGGAACCCACTGATGTGTAGCCATACCCCTGCTTTACCAGCCTGATATACAACAGGATAAAGTCACATCTCTTAAATATTCATTTTAAGTCACTCAAGCATCCATCTCAGAGCAGCAAGAAGATTCTCCTCCCAGGAGTCTCCTTCACATGTTAAATCCAACAACCAGGGGCTTACTCCATTCAAGGGATCACATAGCCCTGAGACTGACGGAAAATCCCCGTCCTCTGCTGCCATCCCTGGTCTTTGCTGCCCTTTCTGCCACCTGGAGCTCCTGTGTCCCATCGACCTTCTGACCTGGGCAGATTCAGTGGAAACCCTGGCCACCATTAGTCCACTTGCGCAGCAGCATCCTCATGCCCTGTATCAGCAGAGGGATGGAAGAGGAGGGCTCCCTCCCTCCTGTCACTCAGGCCTGCGATTTAAATGGCAGCCTGAGATATCTATTCATTTCTCCCTGGCGTGTCACTGTGCAGGAGCACCTGGGAGAGAGTCATTTCTAGCTCCAGCCACATACTGAGCCCATAATTGGGGCTCCACCAGGAAATCCAGAATCTATGAGACTGAGCCCAGGATCCTCATCCTGACTGCCCATTTTCAGAGCTTGAACATCCCCACAGCTGGGTTGGGTAGGGCAGACAGAGACGTGGGACACATGGTTTGTGTTGTTTATGTCTATGCAGTGTTGGGTCAACTCAGCCCAACCAAGATGTGCCGAGCTGTCCTCCCAGGACGTTCCCAGTTCCCTGTACGTGTTTCCCTGCTCTCTCTCCAGTTCTAGACTCCTCAAGGGATGGATGAGGAGGGCACACCATTTTTATACATCCCTCCAACAATGTACTCTCATAGCCCTGCTCTGGAACGGAAGTTATTAACCTCATCCCAGTTTATAACATATATTCATAATCCCCTTTTATTATTCTGAAGTGAGCTTTGTAAGATTTCCCTCATTGTGCCTCGTGCTGTGAATACAAGAAGAGGATGATTTCACCTGAACTCAGAAAGCGTGGTGAGGAGAGTGTAAGGAAATGCCTGTGTGCAAAGCTAGGGATAAGGTTAAGGCACCCAGAACATGGGGAAGCACCCTGGGGCGAGGCACCGTGGGAGGCCTCTAGCTCCCAACTCTCAATGGGACAAGGGCAGGGAGCAGTAGAGGGACCGGGGAATGCGCTGAGAGTCGTAGGTGCAGAAAAAGGGTCACCCCAACAGAGCTGATGGCCTTTATACAAGAAGGTACCCATGGCCAACCCAAACAGCCCAGAACACACGGACAGTTTATAAAAATCACAAATGACTGGAAACTGTCACAATGACTTGTGACTGGTTTGCATTACAACTTTATCCCTTTTTCTGCTACACATAGTTTAGTTGCACAGGAAAGGCAAATGTATTTTCAATTTTTATCTATGTAGTGATTTATGTATTAATTTATATTTGCCGTACCAGACGTTAAATACTTTGAATATTGCTCCTGGGTAATCTGTGACATAACCACGTAAATATCTTGTGACAAAATTATTTCCATTTGGTATTGAATCCTTACACCATCCACCATTTTCATGGAGAGATTCATATATGTATCTAAAACTGAATTGAAAGTAGATATTAATTCCTCCGAACTTGGGGAAATTGGGTCACGATTTGAGCCATTACTTGTCAATTATCCAAAATCTTCCTGAAGAGCAGATACTTATTAGAAACATTCTGCCAGCCAGAGCTGCTTGGACGAAGCAGCCAGGAGTCAGCACAACTTTAATCGGTGCTGAGTTTGATTCATCTTGCCTCCAACATCTTTCAGCTTATGCAGTTTCTGAGGGTCAGGCATCTAGGAGCAACTGAGCTGGGTGGTTCTGGGTCAGGATCTGTCAGAGGGTTGCAGTCGAGCCATCAAGAGGGGCTGCAGTCATTTCCAAGCTTGACTGGGCATGGGGTCCACCTCCAGGATGGCTCACTCACTTGGCTGTTGGCAGAGGCCTCAGTTCCACTCTGGCTGTTGGCAATAGGTCTCAGTGCCTTGCCACGTCTGCTTCTTCACAGGGTTGCTTGAGTGTCCTCATGACAGAGCAGCGAACCTCCCCAGAGCAGGTGATCCAAGAGAGCGAGACAGAAGCAGCATTGGAAGGCAGACTTCTGATGATAGTAACAGCCTAAGGACATCACGTTGGACGAGAGAGCAGTTGGAGAGGAGAAGGAAAGTGGAGAGGGAGCCAGACAAGGAAGCCGAGGAGGAGGCCTCAGGAAAGTCGGGAGAGATGGGAAAGTACAGCATCAGGAAGGAGAGGAGCGTGAGGACAGAATAGTGATCCTTGAATTTGGTAACACAGAGCTGCTGCTGCCCTTGGTGACAGCAGTTGCAGTGGAGCGGTGGGTCAGAGCCAGACTAAAGGGGGCTGAGGAGAAACGGGAGGTGAAAAGCAGAGAGAGCAGCCTCTCACAGCCCTCTTGAAAGTATGGCTTCAAAACACTGCAGATGAGTAGGACAGTAGACCTCATCTGAGCTCTAGAAAAGGAAGGAAATGTTAAGTAGGATGGGCTCAGCTTCATTTGCAATAAAGACCTTCCCAGGGAGGTCCCGCTGCTCCAGAAAGGGCGCCATCTCGTGCTCAGCCAGGGCGTAACTTCTGCCCAGACTAACTCCCTGGAGTCGATTGGGCCTCTTCAGTTCAGAGCAAAGCGTTGCTGGAACAGGGAAAGTACTTTTTCTTGTAAACCTTAAATCCACATTGGAGTAAATTGCCAAACGAACAACTAAACACTGTTGAGTGACAGGCTGAGGCGGAAAGTTCTATACACTTCCCCTTAACCCTGTCCGGATTATTCCTCGTCTTCTTTCCTACACTCTGATCTCTTCACCTCCATCCATCAGTCCCTCTCTTCAGCTTCTTTATTCATTGTCCATTTCTGTGACATAGACGGAGGGATGCATCCACAAGCCAAGGAATGCCGTCAGCCAGCTGAAGCCAGGAGAGAGCCATGGAACAGACGCGCCCTCGGAGATTCCAGAGTGAACCAACCTCTTCTATCCTTGTTTCAGACCACTGGCCCCCAGAACTGAGCGAGAATAAATTTCTGTAGTTTAAGGCACCCGGGTTGTGGTCATTTGTTACAGCGGCCCTGGGAAATGCGTACAGGCACTTTGCAATCAACAGGAATGAATACATTCAACAACGTCGATGAATCTCAAAATAAGTATGGTGAGCGGAAGGAACCAGATAAAAAAGAGCACTTCATGTATGGTTGTATTTACATGAACTTCTAGAATACGCAAACTAGTTCATAGTGACAAGAAGCAGATCAGTGGATGGGAGGGGCAGAAGGAAGGGTTTCCAACAGGACCAGAGGACACGGCACGTTCACCATATTGACAGTGGTGGGGCTTTCACAGGTATATACATATGTCAAAACACATCCAGTTGTATTAACTTATGTGCAATTTCTTATATGTCAGTTATACCCCAAATACAGCAATAAAACTAATAGAGGTGAATAAACTCCACAACTTCATCTTCTAGATAGTCTTTTGGCACAGTTCCTCTGCCCTCCATGCTGTCTTGCCTGCCTCTCTCTCCTC